CTTCAAAACGGACACTGGCTGATGATGGAGTGACGTCCACGACACTGGCAGGCATTCAGGGTGTGCCCCTGCGAAAGTTTCGCGCGTACACATCATCACCTGGCTGCAGTGATGGAGCCTGCCGGGACCCTCTGTCAGCATACAACTTCTGCTTGAGTTGTTTTAGGAATACAGATGCCTGCAGGCTTGGCCTGAGGACATCCAACGGAGTCTTGAACATTCTTCCAGTCAAAAGTTCACACGGTGGCCGACCTGTCACTTCATGTGGTCCTATAGTGGAACAGAAACCTGGAGATCTGCGTTTGGAAGTTCCCAGAACCAAACTTCTTGAGTTTGTTCTTCACAGTTTGAACAACTCTTTCAGCTGCACCATTTGAGGCAGGGTGATACGGCGTTACAAGCATGCGGCGTATTCCATTTCGAGTTAAGAACTCAAGGTACTGGGCACTGATGAAGGCAGGATTGTTGTCTGAAACTATGACATCAGGCAGGCCATGCTGAGCGAATGAAATTCTCAATGCAGAAATGGTAGCTTCTGCAGATGTAGAAGACACAGGAAAGACTTCTATCCACTTTGAGAACGCATCCACAATAACCAAGAATGTGTGACCTAGAAATGGTCCCCCAAAATCAATGTGAAGCCTTGACCAGGGTCGCTGTGGAAAAGGCCACGGCGTCTGCTGAACCGGCTGTGCAGCTCGATGTTGAGTCTGGCACGTAGCGCAGCTCTTTACGCTGTTGGCAATATCATTGTCAATGCCTGGCCACCAAACATGGCTCCTGGCAATCATCTTGCTCTTCTCGATACCCGGGTGGCTGGCGTGAAGAACACCAAGAACTTGGGTCTGCAATTACTTTGGGCTCACTACTCTTGATCCCCAGAGTAGGCAACCCTCATGGAGACTGAGTTCTGAGCTTCTGGTATTGAAAGGGTTCCACTCTGGTCCTACTGGAAGGCTTTCTCCTTTCAGAACTGCAAGAACAACATGGCCCAGAAGTGGGTCATTTCGTGTGGCTTGGGCCACAACACCTGGTGAAAGGAGTCTCGGATATGCCTCCTCTAGCAAGAAGATTTCAGCAGGTCGTGGTAATGCAGTAGTGTCAGTTGGGAGAGGTAGTCTACTAAGAGCATCAGCGTGGCAGAGCTCTTTGCCAGGCTTGTATACAAGTTCGTACTTGTAAGCAGACAGCTTCAGAGCCCACCTGACCACTCGAGGCGAAGCTTGCACGGGAACGGGCTTGTTGGCACCCAGCAAACCAAGAAGTGGCTTGTGGTCAGTGCGTGCTTCGAATGAGATGCCCCACAAGTACTGGTGGAACCGATCCACACTAAACACTAAAGCCAGTGTCTCCTTGTCGAGTTGACTGTAGTTTTGTTCTGCTTTTGACAAGCTCCTCGAGGCAAAAGCAATGGGATGTTCCTCGCCATCAGCATCTTTGTGCGCTAGAACTGCACCTATACCATAAGGCGATGCGTCACAGCTGAGGCAAACAGGCCTGGCAGGGTTGAAATGCACTAGAACTGGAGCTGATGTCACCAAGTGCTTGCAGGCATTGAATGCATCTTGTTGCTCATGTCTCCACTCCCACTTCTTCCCTTCACAAAAAGTAAGTGCAGTGGATGAAGGAGCGATGAAAGATTGGGTAAGAAGCGCCTGTAGAAGTTTACAAGTCCCAAGAAACTCTGAAGTTCCCTGACATCCTGAGGCACAGGAGCATGCAGAATGGCTGCTACCTTGTCAACATTTGGGGAAAGGCCTTCCTTGCTGATGATGTGCCCGAGATACTCAACTTGCGGCACGAAGAAATGGCATTTTTCTAGTTTCAGCTTGAGGCCCGATTCCTGAAGCTTGCTAAGTACAGCACGAAGGTTGCGAAGGTGCTAAGCATTATTTGCGCCAGTCACAAGAATGTCGTCAAAATAGACTGCTACATGAGGCCGTCCCCTGAACAAGTTCTCCATCTTGCGCTGAAATATGGCAGGAGCAGATGAGACACCAAAAGGCAACCGGGTGTACTGAAATAACCCCATGTGCGTCGAAATTGTGACACTCCCTAGAGGCCTCGTCAAGGGCAACTTGCTGGTATGCATCTTGCAAATCCAATTTTGTGAATTTCTCACCTCCAGCAAGCACAGTCCACAGGTCCTCGATCCTTGGAATGGGGTACTGCTCCACTGTTGCCACTGGGTATATAGTGACACCAAAGTCTCCACAGATTCTGATGCGTCCATCCTTTTTGGTCACAGGAACAATAGGTGCAGCCCACTTTGTTGTCTTGACTGGAACAAGAATGGAATCTCTTCTTAGTCTATGGATTTCTTGAGTTACTTTATCTGTCAAGGCGTACGGCAGTGGACGTGGCTTGAAGAACCGAGGCGGAGCATCTGAAGGAACATGTAGAGAAGCTTTAGCACCCTTGAATGTACCCAGGCCTTCTTCAAACACTTCGGCATAGTCTTGGACTAGGTGTTTAACGTCGGAAAGTGCGTGGATGTTCACTTCGACATCGGAAACTCCAATGCCCAACTCACGCATCCAGTTGCGTCCAAGAAGAGTGGGCGATCCGTCTCCGGTCAGAAAAATAGGTAAGTCGGCCTCTCTGCCATGAAACTTCACACTGACGTCAGCTTTGCCCTGAACCTTTTTTAGTTCCCCGCAATAGCTTCGCAGAAGCACTTGTGACGGCTGCACAGGAACCGAAGGCATAAGTTTAAGAAGACGCGACTTTGCCATGACAGAGACACTTGCCCCCGTGTCCACTTCCATGCGGAGCGGCTTGCCGCAAACGTCAACAGTGACGGTGAAAGGCGGAGGCGGCGTGGCGTAGTCGACTTGCCACATGTCAAAAACTTCGCAAAATGAAGTGGTAGCAGCGTCCTGCTTGCGTACCGTATTACCACGATGACGGTTTCTCGACGAAGGTGAACTGCAAGCCGAGAATGAACGTGCCTTGGTCGGGCTGTTGCTTTGGGCTTGGCTGTCCCTTCGTCGCGAATTGCACACCTTCGCCAAATGACCTCGTTTGTGGCAGTAATTGCAAATTGTCTTCACATGCTTGCATTTTGATGCAAGATGTCCGTTCCCACAGCGGTAGCAGGTGACGCCCCCAGAACCTCGGTGAGTCGAGAAAGCGCTGCTTGTGTTCGCTTGCGCCATCTCACTTGCGTCCCTTTTTGCTGCTTCCATTGCCAGGGCGGTCTGTGCAGCATCGTCGAAGGTGAGGTCAGGTTTTTCCAGAAGTCTTGTTTGGACATCCACGTTGTTTATGCCACACACGACGCGGTCGCGGAGCATGTTTTCGAGTTCAGCCCCGAAGCTGCAGTGCTCGGACAGGCTTTTTAGTGCTGCGATAAAATTGCTGACCGATTCCCCTTCCGCGCGAACGCGCGAGTTGAAACGAAAGCGCTGCACGACGGCAGAGGGCTTCGGACAATAATGGCTTCCAAGTACTTGAAGAATCTCGTCCAGATTCTTGTCACTGGGCTTGGCGGGCTTGACCAAATTGCGGAGCAAAGCATACGTTTTCTGCCCGCAGCAGCTGATGAACACGGCAGTACGCTTGTCTGGGGCGACATCATTCGCCAGGAAAAATGCTTTGAGCCGGTCCACGTAACAGGGCCAGTCGTCTTCTCCCCCCTCGAATGGCTCGAGGTTGCCGAAACTTGGCATGGTGAACAGATGACAGAGAGCTGCGGGAACGAAGACTTACATGAAACTTCCTTTCATCCTCATCGCCAGTTGTTACATGTGTAGATTAACTGATGGCCAGGCGGTAGTGACAACCGTGAACAGTAGGCCATCAGGCCCGCGAAGAACACGAGAACACCTTGAGCCCTTAGCCCACAACGAACTGTTTAATTATTTCCCAAAACGGCCACCCCACTGCTGTGCCAGGCTTGCACAGCTCAACACAACTATCAGCGCCGCGTGGGGGCACTGCATTTGAGTCAACATTGTAACACAAAGTTTTAAAAAAGCATACACGTAATTATAAATTATCCTACGTAGGTGACACTGTCATTCAACAGTTAAATGTTTCAATACAAGACATCCTATGATATCGGTAGCCAACGCCAAAATTGCTGATCTCAAACGCTGAGTACAAAGACCCTTACCCTTACGTAGGCAACGTTGCCTTAGACGACGGGCGTTTCGCGCTCATCTGGCAAGCAAGGGAAATCTAGGAGGCTACGACACTATACAAGGGCTGTGAGCACGGAGGAGGAAGGTTTGCCCATAGGGTTTCTCAATATTAACTAGAGGGCATTCTGGCGCTGCGATCGTTCAGCGACCATAGGAATGATGGGTAGTATACACATTTGTCTAGTCTTCGTACTTTTGCGTGGCGAATCGTACTTGCGGTTTCGCTTATTGCTGTGTTTCGGTTTTGTTTTGAAATAAAGATGGAATGCTTTTAAAATTCGTGGGCCAATTTGCAAAGTAAGTCTAAAAAATAACATGGTGAAGCGCAACCACTGAACATTTGCTAATACTTGTTTCGTAAGAAAACAGCTTCAAGCCACACGAACACACGGAGCCAAAGGCAGGCCAGAAGTACGAATATTAGACAAATGTGTGTACTACCCATCATTCCCATGCTCGCTGAAGCGCCGTGCGTTGCAGCTCCCTTAGATACTAGCTCCAGAGTTCCCTCTAGTAAGTATTGTGGGAAACTCTATGGGTTTGCCTCCCCGCCGAAAACGTACGATGCGCGCTCGGTGCCATCTTTGTGAGGACTGGATGGATTGCAATGTAGGCGCTTGAGGACTGCGCCTTCGCTTGTCATCATGCGTGGCGTTACCTTCTAAAGTCTGTTCCGCCTTGCGAGATGAGGCGATTACGAGTGGCGGCGAGTGTTTGAAGCTACTGTTCATCGTTTTTATTATGTTTCCCGTGAAGCTTCCTTCTGTGAACAACGCGGTGAACACACGCGGTGAACTGTTGCCTGTTGGAACATCACTTACCCATGGCGGTCAGATACGTTGGAACATCACTCACCCATGGCGTTCAACTTGTCCACATTGGCTCGTGCTTCGTCCGAATACCCGTGCGGGCAGCTGGCCACCAAGTGCTTTTCCGGGTGCTGTGACAGCCACGCCAAGGCGAACGAAAAGTCCCCTTCTCCAACAAGCAAGCACACCATGCCCTGAGACAACGTTTCTAGACCTAGTCTAGAAACGTTGCCCTGAGATTAGTCGCTTAGTGCACAAATGGCGCTGCGGGAACGGCTGAACGGAAGGCTGTGAAAAGCGTGCCGCGTTTCGCTTGCCTCCTGCATCATAGATTATAGAACCAATCTCATGAGGCTGTCTAGAGAGAAATGTAGAGTTTATGCGGGTTTCAATGCTGCATATGGTGTACCGGAATGACGCAGTGTGTCGTTACAGAACATCTATACGCTACCACTGCTGTCGTCTTCGCAGCCAGTATTTTTGTATGAAACTCTATGCAGCCAACCAATGGGACCGTAGTGGTCGCTTTTGCAATGACGCCACTAGAGGCCGCGACTATCGGAAGGTGTGCTAGGGCGCGTAATCTAAGTTTGCATTGCCGATCTTTATGCAGATTTTGAGTAACATAGTCACAGAATACAATTTAAACTAAAAGTATCTGTAATATTAAAATACATACAACACATACGTATGCATTATTGATATAAATAATGCTGCTTCTGCGTAGTCGAGCTCGCACAATTCCTATCGCTCAACAGGAACCCACATCGTCTGCTAGCTTACAGTTTTAACCGTTTTAACTGCAGAATTAATATAAAAAGCATATCGCTATTCGTTTGATCGATATGTACCCCTGCCTAGCTATCACACTAACTTGAAGACATGCGACGAAACAAACGAGGAAGGCCCGAGGGATAAAGGCTGTTTCACATGCCGTGATTGCAGCGAGAAAAAAAAAATCATGCCGTTCGCTCTCCAATCGTTCTGCTCACAACCGCCGCTAATGGCGGTTTCGTTTTATATGGACTATTGACCGCAGACGGTCTGCGATTTTCGCTCTGCGACTGGAGCGGCGAGCAACGTGTCTTGCCACCGTTTGCTGTGGCAGACAACAGAATTTTTCAAATATAGTGTTACAATCTGTGCTTCATAACATTATTAGGTTTTCATGAAGGGTAACGAAAAGTACTCGTGTTTCATCATTTGAGAACACTTTCCAATCTAGGCAGTGTTTTGGATCCCCCAGGGGCACTAGCATTTTGAGGGACAAAGCTACAGTGTCTAGAAATATACTGCCAGTATAATTCTAGACATTGTAATTATCGTGTAGTAGAATATGGGGTAGTGTGTTCAAGCACCCTCATTCGCCAAGCATCGCGTGAAGCGGCGCACGTGGACAAAAAACCGGTTCTTAAGGCGGCGATGCTGTAGCATGGGAATATTGCAATAAAACAGAAGGCAGCAAAAAGGGGGGTGGAATTCGTGCACTTATACATAAGAGCATGGGTTGGCAAAAAGTCAAGCAGGAATGCAAGGAACATTTGTGGCTAAAAGGGCAAGTGGCAGGGCAAATGACACTCCTTAGTTTCGCCTACTTGTGGACGGGAGCAAAGGCCAGAGAGGAAAACCAGGCAATGGTAGAGTGTATATCAAATGACATTTAGGAGTTAGGAGGAGAGTGCGATATAAATATACTAGGATATGTGAATGCGCACATAGAAGATATAAATGGGTATACTGACTCAACAGGCAAAATGATCATAGATATGTGTGAAAGGCATGAGTTGATCATTTGCTACAGTACCGAGAAGTGTGAAGGGCAAATAACATGGGAGGTAGGAAGGCTGCAGTCCACGATAGATTACGCACTGATGTCACATAGGATGTATGATAAGCTCAGGGAATGCACATAGATGAAGGGGGCTCCAGAAGTCTGGGTAGTGATCACAAACGTATCAAGCTAAGTTTTGGAAGAGCAGCGAAAGTGGGAAGGAGACAAGATGAGCAACTACAAGAAAATTTTCATTCAGAAAGGCAAATAGAAATTGCAACTAAACAAATTGAGAAAGTAATCACTGATGATAATAAAACTGTGTGGACATGCACAAATCTAACTAGACTGTTTGGGCTAGAGCTTGCTAAGGCACGTGATAAGTCACCCTGGAAAAGAAGACACAAGCCCAAGAGTTGCTGGGATGATGAAGTTAAGAGAGCCATAGCAAAACGACAGGAAGCCTCTAGGGAGCACAGACATGCTAAGCAACGGGGTGAACCGACAGATGATGTTGAAAGAAAATGGGAAATCTTTCCAAGCTCTAGAAGGGAAGCATCCCTCCTGATCAATGAAAAGATTAGAAGAAAGGGTGTTCAGTGGCTGGCAGAAGTACATAAAAAGGACAGAAAGGCAGCTGCGAAATTTTGGAACCATATAAACTCCAAAAGAAATGAAACAAACCTAGAGCAGAGGTTTATAACTACTGCTCAATGTGCTAGGCTAGAAGGGGATGAAACTATTGAATATATAAGAACAAGGCTGACAGAAACATTTCAACAAAGAAGTGTCTTATGCACCACAATAGACAGGGATGGATCAAGTGGCACAATAGCTCCATTTTCACAACGAGAGTGGAAAAGGGCTGAGAAAAGGGTTCCAAGTAGTACATCAACAGGCCCAGATGGCATTCCAATTATGCTGATAAAGGCGTAGGGTCCGAAGTCTAAACAGACTTTAAGAGAGGCAGTGAGCAGAACAATAATCGATGGTTAAGTCCCTGATGGATGGAAACTTAGCAGGATGAGCATGATCTATAAGGAAAAGGGGGCAAAGATGGCATAATCAACTACCGTCCTATACCAGTGACATCAGTGGTCTACAGGCTGGCGATGGAGATTATAAAGGAAAGACTGCAGGAGGATAGAGGATGAGGGGGTGCCGGGGGAACTGCAGAATGAGTTTCGGAAATACAGGCAGTTGGAAGACAATCTGTTCTGACTGACGCAGTGCATCGAAATAGCAGAAAAGGAACACAGGCCCCTGTGGCTAGCATTTTTGGATATCAAGGGACCGTATGATAGCGTGGTGCAAGGGGAAATGTGGGGAATACTGGACACACTAGGCATGGAAGATGGAGTCACTAATCTTTTAAAGGATATCTATAAAGGTAACAAGGTAGTTATAAAGTGAGATAAACAGGTATCCTAGCCTTCAGAGGTAAAACGGTGGCTTAGGCAGAAGTGTCCTCTGTCACCCTTATTATTCATGATGTACCTACATGGATTAGAGGCCAAATTAGAGGGAAGTGGACTGGGCTTCAACATCTCTTTCGTCAAACAAGGAAAACTCATTGAACAGGCACTACCAGCATTGATGCACGCAGATTATATAGGGCTAATGGCCAACAACAAGGAAGATTTGCAGAGATTGATGGACATTTGCGGTAATGAGGGAGATAGGTTAGATTTCAGATTCAGTAAGCAAAAATGAGCAGTCATGATATTTAATGACAATGAAGGTAGTGAGCTTAGAATACAGGAGGTCACTCTAGAGATAACAGAAAAATACAAATATATCGGCGTATAGATAAGCAATGCGGCCGAGTACCTAAGGGAACACGAAATATACGTGACGACTAAAGGTAAGAGGAATGCAGCGGTAATGAAAAACAGGGCACTTTGGAATTAAAATAAGTATGATGTTGTGAGAAGAACATGAAAATGGGTCATGGATCCTGGTCTGACGTTCGGCAATGTGGTTTTGTGCATGAGATCAGAAGTTCAAGCAAGATTATAAATTAATAGGGAGGAATAGGTAGGCTTGCTTTAGGAGATCACGGGAATACACCAACTCAGGGAGTACAAGGTGATATGGGATGGACATCATTTGAGGGCAGGGAAACTAGGAGCAAGATACAATTTGAGAAGCGATGGAGAGAAATGGGGGAGGAGCGCTGCGCTATGAAGGTATTCAGCTACTTGTACATGAAGAATGTCGATACAAAATGGAGGAAGCGAACCAGAAAATTGATTAGTAAATACTTAGAAAACAGCAGGGGGCCAAATCAAAAAGAAATGTTGGTTAAGAAGAAGGTGAAGGAAGCTGAGTACGATGTGAAGAAATGACGTGATTGAAAAGTCCGCAGATCCATCGAACTTTTAAGCAAGAAATTGCCAAGGAAAGGATCTATTATAGTACTTGGGGTAGTTCTCTACTGTTTGAGGCCAGGACGGGAGTATTGCGAACCGAGACATATCGGGTCAAATACGAAGTGGTAGGCACGGTATGCAGAGCGTGGGAAGAGGAAGAAACTGCCGAGCACTTGATAATGTTCTGTAAAGGCTTCACCCTGTAGTTCAGGATGATGGCGCAGAATATTTCGAAGCACTGGGGTTTAGGGACAGGGAGGGCTAACTAGACTTTAGGCGGGTAGAATTAACTAGAAGGAGGTTATCTGATTGTTTGGTAAAGTCAAGGCACGAGTGAAAATGAAACCCTTCGCTGCAAAGTATGAATACTCAACCTCACTATTTAAAGGAAAAAAAAAGAAATCTAGTTTTTGGTTCATTAAGTATTACGGCTTGGTGGCGCTAGCCATCGCCCAATATAAAGAGTACAGCCACAGCAGCCAGCCAGCCAGCCAGCCAGCCAGCTAGCTTCAACACGAACTGGGTCCACTCGCGAAGAGGGTGACGTCGTCCACATAGATCGCCATGCGCACAGCGTACTCCAAGTCGCGAGGTAGATAATAATAATAATAATAATAATAATAATAATAATAATAATAATAATAATAATAATAATAATAATAATAATAATAATAATACCTTTTAATTCTTCAAATAAAACAGTACATGTGACTAGGCCTGCCAAAGCCAATTGGTGGCTTGAGTGGCAGAGCCTGGCAGACAGCAAAAAAACCGGACGCGTTACAAGATTGTATCTTATGGCCTAAGAGGGATGACAGGACAAAAAACAACGGGCATATAAGATTAGAAACAACAAAGCATGTAAGCAATAGTTGAAAGCATTATACAACATTTACAGCAATTGAAAGTGAAAAAATGTAAAGGAAAAAAGAAAGAATTAGAGGAAATGCTTCTTAAGCAAAGTAACACACAGGATAATTGTGCAGCATCATGCTTGCGAATGAGTGTATATGAAATAACACACGACATGTATTACAATTGTAGACAGATACGCCATAGCAGTTTCTTTGATTTGTATTTCGTTTTTGTGCGAACACGATGTCCACGATAGTCCACGATGTGCGCGAGGGCGAGATTGAAGAGCAAGGGGCCCAAAATACTGCCCCGCGGAGCACCAGCAGTGGATGGACGAGGCGCGCCGAGGTCGCCAGCAATGAAAACGCGGAAGATTCTGCCAACGAGGAACTCCTCGACATAGCCGAGAAGCCTGTCGCACACACCCATTGCACGTAGAGCGTCTAAATGGCCGCATGAGGCAGGCAATCGAAGGCACTCTTGATGTCGATGAGAACCAAGTATCCGGCGTCACCATGGAGCTTGAGGTCGGTTCCGACGAGGGCTTGCCCTTCTTGCGAACCGCAACGA